GTTGGAGACTTCGTTCATCTTTGTGTGCCAGGCTTTGGTCATCAGCGAAGAGTAATTCTTTTAGGGCGTCTGGTTCAGCGTTGGCCTCTTTTGTAATTCTATCCATATATATGATAAATAGTGGTGGTGATAGGACACATCTTGTCTTACTCCGGATGTTATCTCGAACCATTCTGTGAGTCCCTCTGACGTTCTTACTGTACTCCCGCTGTTCTCGTAAATGGCACGGATGTTATCCAGAAGTTGGCCTCTTACAGTGTATTTTTCGAGTTCTTTCCACAGCTTGTTTCTGTTCACTCTGTTGAACGCTTTCTCCTGGTCGATAAATACTATAATTGGTTCCCTGTTGTGTTCTAATACCCTTTGGCACATTTGTCGTAGGGCAAATATTGCGTCGGTGCATTCCCTTCCCATTCTAAATCCAATTTGGGCCTCACTCAGAAATGGTTCAACTTTGTGTCTTGTTCGCCATTCCAATATCTTGGCGAACATCTTGCCCACATTGCTTAGCAGTGAAATGCCTCTATACATTCCACAGTATCTCTCACTATCTTTCTTCTTCCAGATTGGTACTATGACCGCTTTTTGCCAGTCGCCGGGAACTTTTCTTTCTGTCCATGCTTTCTGGAAGATTTTTGTGAGCCAAGTTATTCCCGTTTCATCACATGCTAGGACGGTCTCCGTGGTGAGCTCATTTTTGGGCTGCTTTTAACTGCTCGTCTGATGGTAGGATTGTTGGTTCTTCTTCCTCTGGGTGACTTGGTTGGAATCCTTTGTTTGTTTGCTTTTGAGTGGTGTTCAAGAGTTCTGAGAAATATTCCCTCCATCTAGATCTAATTTTGGAGCTGTCGATAATGGGGTTTCCTGTTTTGTCATTGATTATAGCTGTTGGATCGTACGGTTCTTCTCTGAGCCTCATTGATTTTACACTCCTATAGAAGTCACGTGGTGATTTATGGCACAGTTCGCTTAGGTGTTTTCCATATTTTGTCCAAGATTCAATTTTTTGATGCTCTAACAACTCTTTTGCAGTTCCTTCTTGCTGGCCTGTACTGCGTGTAGCCGTTTTCGTCCTTGGGTCTTATCCATTTATGAAAAAGTTGCGTCTTTTCTTTGATGGCTTCTTTAACTTGGCCATTCCACCATGGTGTTCCTTTAACGTATCCTCTCCCAATTCTCTTCTTTCCACATACTTTTATCAGTGTTTCTGTTAGTAAGTTTTTAAAGAGAGTCAATGTCTCTACAACGTTCGTCGAACTGTTGTCTTGGTTTTCTAGTCTCTTTGTGATCTCGTCCTCAACTTTCTGCGCATTGCCCTCTTCATTGAGTTTTCGTAAATTAATTTTCTCTGAATGTTTCTTCTTCTCTTTTCGCATGGGTCTTTTTTTCTCTCTACTCGTCATCATCACTGGTCGGTGATTTGTATCAAAGGTGATGTTTGGGACTGATCTTGCATCAGTTGTTTTTGTTCTATGGGCGATTCGTCTCAGTATGAAGTTGATCTTTAAGGAAATTTTTTGGTTGTTCCATTTGTACCACGACTGAGTTTGACTTGGCCTGTACTGGTAAAAAGTATAAGTGATGAATATTTCATACTCTGCACAGAGAACTAATAGTTATTGTATTGAATACTGAGGAAAAATCAACAAAAAGTACCTTCCTATACGTTGATTTTTTCCTCAGCATTCAATACAATTCAACCACATACTGTCTTTGGAGAAAAAAAAACTGGCTGGCTCACGCAAAGAATAATTTATTAACATTACTTCATCAAACGTTTGATAGCAGTGTTTCGTATCAAATCCCACTAAAATGAAGATTCTGAAGTCAGATTTGCACAATTTTGACGTTGACACCCTTCTCTTTTTAGCGTCGAGTACCCTGATCTCCGATCCGACCGATAATTTTCAGGCTCGTCTGAATTCAAGAGATCTCACGGTTTGTTGAGACTTTTAACTGAACAGTCCTGATTTGGCCTAGAGATCATCTTGAGATCATCTTGAGATCGCGTTCAGTTGGTCTTGAGACCATCTAAAGACGGGCGTACCATTAAAATTTTAACTGCCTAGTGATTGGCTGGCTTCTTCAGCTGCTGTTTCATGGGGCTCAACGGAGTTGGTGGTTAGTCAGGCATGTGGTTAGGCTACCGAACTCTTAATCGTGAGGTTGTGGTGTCGGTGGTCTAGTGGTTAGGCTACCGGACTCGTAATCGTGAGGCTGGGGTGTCGGTGGTCTAGTGGTTAGGCTACCGGACTCGTAATCGTGAGGCTGGGGTGTCGGTGGTCTAGTGGTTAGGCTACCGGACTCGTAATCGTGAGG